AGAATTACCGACCAAAGTTGGTCGGTAATTTTGATCGGTACATTAAGTGCTGACCGTTTGACCAAAAACCGACCAACTTTGGTCGATTTTTTTTTAAAAAAAATTTAAAATCTTTAACCGACCAACGTTGGTCGGTAATTTTAAATATAAATTCTTAAATATTATAAAATATTTTAAATAATAAAATAATTATTAAAATTTAAAAAATTGGATCCAAATTACCGACCAACGTTGGTCGGTAATCCAAAATTTTCTTGTCTGACCAGCTATTGACCAATTTACCGACCAACGTTGGTCGGTATTTTGTTTAAAAAAAATGTAAATATATTTTTTTTCCCAGTTTGCGTCCAACCTGGACGGTTTTTGGTCGCATTTTTTGACCGACCAACGTTGGTCGGAAATAGTTGGTCGGTTTTTAGCAGATTTTTAGTAGTGAGAAGAAGAGCAACTACTGTAATTCAAGAGTGTGCGTCTAGTAATTAATTGTCGTAGTTACTTGAGAGAATTATAGTAACTGAAGTGCTCATGATCTTTAGAGAATAACTAGGGGAAATTATAGAGGATATAGCGAGAAGGATTCCGACAATTAGGAAAACCATGCTCTAGGCCTTCTCGTTCTTGTTTACAAAACTTAGTTTTACTAGTGATATTTTACTGCATTCTTATTACTTATTTTTAGTATTAAAATACCAACAATGTGATATTTGTAACTTCTGAAAATTGATTATTTGAATTTGTGGAACAAATAGTGGTAGTTAATAGGTTAATTCCTTGTGGGGTTCGACTCCGGACTCTTAAACCGGATTATATTTACAACAATCACTTAGTTCTTATTAGGCATAGTTAGGCGTGATCATAACACCAAATCAAAAAGACCCACTTTGTCCTATTCAATACTTTCTAAGGCCCAACAATGAATTTTGAGCTTTTTACAGCAAAGCACTAAATCAATGTTTGAACTAAAAATTTAAGTATAAATTATCAACAATCAAACGATTCTAAAATAATGGATAATACCTTCTAATTTCCACCGTCAAACAAGAATTTCAAACTTAAAATATTGTATAACTATGGTGTCCAAGTTCAAAATGAGGTCATTTTGCTAAGACTAGTAAAAAACGGGGATATTCCGTCAAGACCAGCCCCGTTGGGGGACAAGCCGTCAATTTTTTGTGTAATCTGTTTATTGTGAAACTAGATTTTGTTTTTCTTTTTTTTATGACTTTATCTAACATATCGAACACAAAATGAATTTTTTTAAAAGAAACATTTTGCCAAGTTTTCTTGTGGATCAAATAGATACATATTTAGCCCAAATTAGCACAAGGTAGGGGTGTACATGTGTCGGGTTAGTTCAGATTTTTTAATTACCAAACCAAATCAATTGTACCGGGTTATTAAATTTAAATACCAAATCAAACCAATAAAAATCAGTTTTTTTAATCTCAGATTTGTCGGGTTTTCGGGTTTTTTCGGTTTTATTTTTCATAAAGTTTTCATAGCACAAAACGTAAAATTTGTGCTCTAAATATTTCTTTAATCGTAGTAAGATAAAACTGTATACGGTATTTTTCAATAAAATACCATAAATATGAGATGAGTCATGGTATTGTACTAAAATATTCAACAATAAAGATAATAAAATCGCATCAAATAAATATTATTAATAAGCCATAATGAAAACAAACATAATTTAAAATTATGACTAATAAGTATTATTATTTACATGACTAACCACTAAAAGAAAAATAAGTTATATATTTTATCTAAACCATGGAAAAACTAAAAAATAGATATCAAACACTATTTTCATGCATAGTACAATTGAATTGATTGTCTTTTATAGCATTAGTATTGATTTGATTTTGGTTTGGGATTTATTTGAGTTACTAACATTTATGGACTATAAAACTTATTGGAACATCCAAAAATTATAAGCCCAAGCTTGAAATAATACGTTAAAAGATAAAAGTATGAAAAAACTTAAGAAATATTGATAAACTACACTATCATAAATATTTTTATGTATTAAATATATTTAAAACTTCTATACATATAATGTCGGGTTGGTTTGGTTTCAGTTTGACTTTTTTTAGTTAAAACCAAAACAAACCAAACCAAATATGGTCGGATTGTTTTTTCCCAACACCAAACCAAATCAAACCATAGTCGGATTTTTTTTCTCTGTTTAACTCGGATTATCGGGTTAGTGCGATTTGTCGGTTTCATTTGTACACCCCTAGCACAAGGTATCCACCTTTAGGACCAATGTTTAAGTCTTAGCCTGCGCTTGCAAATTATCTAATGTTTAGCTACAACCCGTCCTCAAAAGCAGGAAAATATCGCTTCTTCTTCTCTGCTTCCTCAAACTTTAGAACAATATGTCCAAGTCATAAGTTCAGTTTTCAATTCAGAACTTCAAGATATTATGCCCTTAAGTTCAAAACTTCAAGATATTGTGTCATTAATCTCATTTTTTCAGTTCAAAACTTAAGGACAATGTGTCGTTGAGTTTAGTTTTTCAATTCAAACTTCAAATTTAAGGTCCTAAATTCAGCCTTTTCAATTCAAACTTCAGGAACATTGTGTCCCGAAGTTCAAACTACGTTCAAACTTCAGGCTAATGTGTTGAAGTTCCATTGTTGTGATTCCAATTTCAGGCAATCGAAGAAGAAGAAAGAATAAGGAGACTAAGAAATAAGCAGTAGTACTGACCAATTTGAGCACATATGTTCATGAAATTGTGTCCTTAAATTTGAAGTATGTAGTTCAAACTTCAATTGGTACAAATCCTCACTAATGTCGAAATTAAGAAGAAAACGACATAGAACTAGAGAAATGCAGGTAGTGACTTTTTTATGTGCTTGTTAAACTTTAAATATTTTGCAAACCCTGATTAAACTTCAACAACGGCCAAAAAATAGCTACTGGTGCACTTCTGCCCAACCCGGAGTTGGCCATGTCATGTTTTCATAGGCTAATTTTGCCACCCATAGACAGAAGATGGTTAGAGCCGTGAAATTAATTAACTGTTAGTTATTCATGTCAAGGTTGTCCTTTATTCTAATACATACATACATACATATATATATATATATATATGGACAAGACAAAACTGCTTCCTTCCTTCAAACACATCTAAATCTTTGACTGATAGAATGCTTCAATTAGCATGAACTACTTACGAAGGAAACCTGTATAACACTTCTAATTCTTCGTCATATGTTGGTTCGTATTCGTATATCCGTCAACATCATATTTTCGGTAGACGAATAGCTGGTTCTCTTCCCACCACTTCTTTGCTTCCTTCGTAGTAAACTTTCCCCCACTGCATAATGCAACCCAAGTAAGCATTGCATATGTAAAAAACACATTACATGAATATCTCTAATATATTGTCTAATTTAGCCCATAAAAATAAAATGTATCAAAACTATAAAATAAATTTTATGGGTTTGGTTGGTTAGATATAGTCATGGTAAACAAAAGTACAAGTTTTGGTTAGTTTGATTTGGTCACTAAAAACTTTAAAAGTACAAAAAAACAAATGAAAATTGATTTTGAGTTAAGCGTGTTGGGTTACCTGTCCATCTTGACCCAAGCAAACTTTAGATGGGTTATACATGACCCATCTAGTCTTTAATCCGCCTAAATTTAGTTCAAACTACCCATTTGACACTTTTAAAATTAAAATTAAGACATTGCTAACTACTTTATCATATTCTACAGAGCGAGCTAGTCGACTTGCTATCTCAAACTTGGTGCAAAGTATGCAGTGGAATGATGTATGTCTAAAAATGTTCTAAATATTGGATATAAATTTACCTGAACCTGACTCGCTTGAGTCCCTTATTCCCACTTGGCAATATTGTCAATGTGACGTCGACCCCAGGCTGGTATTGTTCCACCCATTCATCAGCACAGTGTTCTTTGTTATATAAGGATCTTAACTTATTGGAAAATACAATTGGAGAACTCAATAGGCTATCAACTTTGCTATCGACCACATCGACAGCAGCCTGATTGTTAGTTTCTCTTCTAGCGTAAAGAGCTGACATTTTCTGCAACAGGAATAAGCAAAACAAGCTAAAGGCATTGTATTCTGAGCTGATAGTAAGACACACATTTAAATGAATTGGTAGTTATGAAAGAATATTATGTTGACATTAAGGATAACATTGGAGTTTTACCTGTGTCAAAAGCTAATCTTGAAATCATGAGTTGAGTGTTTACTAATTTGAGAACAACAACAAAAAATACATATAAGAAACTTGTACTTTGCTTAAGGGGCATCATCCTGTTCTGAAACTGACAAATATTTCTTTTTCTCTTTTTAGAGAAGGGGGAAGAAACAAAACATATATGTGAACTGTGAAGGGACAACATACTAAGAACAAAGTCCTATCAGTATGCATCAGTCAATCAATTATTAGTCACATATCTCCACGTTCTATTTCAAAATGGATCAGATGAACTACAATCATGCATACAACCTTATGGTATCCTTGTTAATAACCTTTTCTCAATCTCCTCCAGTTTCACGTAGTTGTCCACTTAATTGTGTTTTGCCTAGTTACATACTATAGTTTCTCTTGGAGGGCATGAACTCTAGTGAAGGAAACAAGATTACGTATTAACACATCCTTAGGAAATACTTTGTTTACGGAAATAAAATTGTAGAGCTCGCAATGTTGAAAAAGTGTTCTCCGCCTTTCAATCAGATCCATGGAGCAGTCCTCCACTAGCTCAGCAAACTGCTGATTTCTAGCTGTTTTTCTGCAATTTTAAAACTAATATACTGCTTTTAGTTTAGAGACCCAATTCTCTTTAGTCAGCCATAGCCGGAGCCCACCCCTATCCTTGACTTTGATAACTGTAACTCTCAGTTTACTAAGCACATAAAATGCATAAGATCCATACCTTAAGACGGCTTCAAGTGAGTTAACAACTTAAAAGGAAAGAGCAATTTCCAAGGAGGTATATTACACAAGTTAGAATTTCAACTCAGAGGTCAAACCAAGAAACATGATACGCGGAATAAATATGTTAACTATCGTATCACCTTTCAACACAGATCATTTCAGCATCTTAAAATCAAGCAACTCCCATGGCTACATGGTGTCACGCGGTATTGAGTTGTCAAAGTTTTAAAGTTTTACACTGACCCCAAGTAATGGTCACTTTTTATTTGCTACGGAAGAAAAATAAAAATGGCTTGAAAATCATTAAGCTATGTACTTCCAATGTTTGTTTCATTGTGTGAACAACAGAAGCATACTACTAATCAAGGAAAGAGAAGGCAACTGAACCACTTAAATATTCCCAAACTCTCTCACCTTCAACTTTTTCTCTACGCATATTTTGCTAAAGTTTCAAACTAAAAGTAATTTTCACATAAAGATGAAGCTTTGTATTGAATTGTTCCTAGGCAAGTACACAATTGGCACAGGCAAACTCATAAACAAGACACAGAAGTATTATCAATTAAGGCAGAATAAGCAGTAGAATTATGATTTAAGAAAACCAGATATTAGGAAATGTACCTGAGTTCTTAGATTGGAAAGTTCTTCAAGGAGCAATTTATCTGATTCTGACAATTTTTCCTCCATAGTTAGCGCAGTTGAACACACAACTTTTGGTTCTGGAGGAACCTTCAAATGAGTTGGGGAAGCTGAAACCCGTGAATTTCTAACACGAATATCATGAGTTCTCGTGTGTCCACTTCCTCTTCTAAAGATTTTAGAACAAGGAACTGGTCCCCATCTTGGAAAGCTATCCAACAAAGAATCAATGGGGTCTAAGCACTGCTTACTTTCCCCTAAATTGTTTACGGCCCTCCGGTCACAGCATTGACTGTTCTCACTAAAATACTTTCTTGTTGACATCATTCGTCTTGATATACTATTTGACTCTTCCACCTCTTCCTTGACATTAATAGATGTCTTCTGAGTTATCAATAGCGGTCTCGGGCTATGCTTTGGTGTCTTGGGTGGTCTGCTTGATTGAACAATCCTTTGCAGTTGGCAGAAACATGGATCACATACACGAGAAGCTTTAGTTTTGTCTGGGGCCAAAGATGCATTTTTGGTTTTCTTGCTGCAGCATGCACGACAAAATAAAAGACCACAATTATAACAATTTTGCTTCTTCCTTGTAATCCCAAAAGTCGTGCCACATCCTCTGCAAACTGATTGATCACTACTTGATATAGATTTATGCAAACATATCGCTGCTGTAGAATTTGATCCACAAGCAATATGTTCCACTTGCCTGTCTCTTAGAGCCTCAACTAAGGTTGGGCAGTTTCTATCTTCCGTATCACCTAATCCCAACTGTCCGTTTGAACCTTTACCCCATGTGTAGACATTTCCCTTAGATGTAAGCACAGCAACATGATAAGATCCCGAGGAGATCTCTGTAACAATCTCGTCTTTAAGTTTCCCTTGCACCATCACTACTGATTTATCTTTGGCTTTTGGATTACCCAGCTGCCCGTGCACCGAACTTCCCATTGTATAAACCTTTCCTTCGGCAGACAGCCCAATGGTTAAGGTGTTTGCACAGGCAACTTGAATGAAATCATGATCCACAAGTTTAGCTACACATGTTGGTAAAAGCTTTCTGTTATCTTCAGAGTGACCAAGTCTTCCTTTATCCCCATCACCCCATGTAAAAAGCTTCCCGCCTGGATTATTGAATTTAAGGTAATGAACAGAGATTTCCACTACTGCAGATGTATGCCACGGTCCACATGCAACTGATTTCACCCACAGACCTCTAAGGGACTCAACTTCTTTTGGGTGAGCCACGCTTTGGAGATTCCCATGACCAAGAACACCAAAAGTTCCATCTCCATAAGTAAACAATTGTCCAGATGTTGACACAATTCCTGTGTGCCATTCCCCACAAGCAATGTAAGATATTTTCACACCATCCAAAGAACCACAAACTCTGTTTGGAAGCCAATAGCTCCTCTTCATCTTTTCTGCACCAACTAAATCAGCACTAGAATTGTCACCCCATGTATAGAGTTGACCTGATGTTGTCAAGGCACATGTATGGTATTCACCGCAACTGGCAGATTTTACATGAACTCCGTTAAGGGAGTCGACGATTTTTGGGCATGCAGTGTCCATATCAAGTTTATGTCCAAGTCTTCCATTCTTTCCTTCACCCCAGCAAAACACTTCACCTTGTTTGGTGACTATGGCAGCGTGACTTCTCCCTATTGATATTGTTTGTACATCAAGCATCAAAGTAGACTCAAGAAGTTTGGGTAATAAAGCATCCGACTTTACTTCCCCATCCCCCAAGCATCCTCCTTCAGCTCCTTCTCCCCAAATAAAAACATCCCTTAAAACATGTTTTCCTAGTAGTCCTGACTTATGAGTGGACGGAACCGATGGAGTAAGCATATCATTGTGGATATCAGTGCCATCACAAGATGCTCTTTTCTGGCTTAGATAGTCTGGTTCCAAAGACGACGAATTTGTGATAACGTTATCCATTTCATTGTGTACACTTGATAGACTTGGCGGAAAAAGGATGTTGGAGGAACATGATAACCCATCAGACGAATAGTTTTCTGAAAATGATTGAGTGGGACTCCCTGATAAGCTGCTAACCTGTACAAATAAGTTTATATCAAAAGAGTAGAAGATTGCACAGGGCAAAGTATTGCTTTAATAACAAGATAAAGCACTGAGAACTTGATAAAATGAAGGACAACAAGAACCTGAGAAGATCGGGTTTTCTTCACTGAAAGTCCAAGATTATGTTTCCTCCGCATATAACCTACTGGACTAAGGATGCAACTTTGTGCTCTTCTTTCGCTTTTCATATCGTCCACCAATCCATGCCGACTTCGAGATATTACAGCTTTCAATCCTAGAAACCATGTCTCAGCCTGCATTTCGTCCTTGCAAATCTGTATAAATATGGAGAAACCAAAGCCACAAACCTCGCTCAGATGAATAAAAGAACTATACAGCATAAATCCATGTACGGTATCCTTCAATTAACTTTGAGACTACTGAATAACTTACCAGATCAAGAGTGTGGTCGTCATTTCCATATATTAAAGAAATGCACTGACTTTCCATATCAGCCTGAAGTTGTTTCTGTTGAATTACCTAGTTAAGAAAATGAGACATTCTTATCAACTGGAAGGAAATCATATAATGTTAACTAATGATCTTCATTAGAATGTTCAGTTTACAAGTAAGACGCTTAACTACTTACAGTGTTTTGGCCACGGATGATATCTGTGACAGCACTTAACCTCAGTTGGTTTTCCTTCTCACCTGAGTACCAAATCAAAAACTTTTCGTCCTGTCGACAAAGAAAAAAGAAAGATTATTTAGGACATATAAAATATTATTCAGGATCAAGGAAAACAGGTATAGAATTTCCACTTTCACTGCTTCCGTCCACAAGCAAGCGAAACCGTTTCTTAAATAAAAAAATAAAGAAAGATCAGAAATGATTTGAAATATTTCTTCTGAAAAGGAGCTTGATTTTGTATTCATGTGCTAATTTTAAAAACCTCAGGTTGATCGATGGTAAATTGGTAATCAACAAATAACTATCATTAGTAACCTTGATGTTTGAAAACTGAATAAGCTCAAATTTCCACATAATAATTGAAAACTGAATAAGCTTAAATTTCCAGAGTAACTTTATTACTAATTTCGCCTTTCCAGGAGGTTTCACAGTTATTCAGACTCCCCAATAAGTCTATACTTTAGCTGAACAACAGGAGATAAAGAAGAGAAAGAAAAAGTTAAATCTCATAAAAAAGAGGTTAAATTTGTAAACTGCATATATATAGAACAGCGACAGCAATAAAACAGACAGGGCGTGCCATCTTCCATGTTAGAGAACTAATTTGGAGCTAGAAACATAAATTCAAATGATACAATTCCCATTCAGGAGTCAGTTACACGTAAAGCTATAAACGTGCACTCCTAGCAAAACGGAATCTTAGAAATGATGGAAGGATAAGTAGATTTCTATGTTGAAATGGTTAATGTACAAGGTTTATAAGGAATTGTCAAGCAATATGGCTCTCAATTGGACTGCACACAGGCAAACGCCAAGAACATTGATTGTACTATCTTCTTTTTCCCAATGAGAATGCCAAGTTTTTCAATTATTTCTACGGATACATATTCCAAATATGACACTACTTATTTTGAGAATTTCCTTAAGGGTTGAAAAACAAGAGACATGTTCCAATGAAATGCTTTACCGTGGATAACCTCAGAGGGCAGAATTTGGGCTTCCCTCTTCTACCATACGTCAATAGATGCGCGCCCTTCTTCAGTGCAGTTATTGCCTGGACAATGTTTGAAGGTCAAGTAAAAATAGGAAAAGAAAAAGCGAGTATAACGATACTTCTGTTTGCTGAAAGATCCTACCAACCCCAACAAAACATGCCACAAGAAAAATGCAATTGCTTGTATATTTTGCAAGATACTATTTTTCAAAATCTTCCTTAGATTCCGAGAGAGCTTCTAGCAGTTTGAACACGAACCGAAAACTGATGAGGCAATCAGCAAAGCACAATGAAAGTGAGCTAATTTGTAGCTAGTAAAATTTCTAACGATATTGGAACTGAAAAGAAAAAGATTTGATTCTCAAATACTCTCAAGTTACAACCAGGATCAAAAAAGAACGTAAACACAAAAATGAGATTGAAGTAGACATAGAAAAGATCAAAATTTAGGCGAAAGGAACTAAGGGCGTGTATATGGCTATAGGTAAAATCTTTACTACATTTCTGAATTTGGACACTGTAATCCTGTTCTGCACAGTTAACCAAGATGTTTAATTATAACATGAAGTTTGTGATTTTTCCTTCAACGGGCACAAGAATTCAAACATAATATATTGGAACCTTTCGCCATCTATGTGGTTCGGACTCTCCAAAACAGCTGCCGACATGCACCCATCGAAATTTTCGGAGAGTCCGAGCAACATAGTTCGCCATAACTCTCAGAAAGGATTTGTCGTTGCAGTATGGTACACCAACCCTCTATACCAGTGTCAATGTGCTACAAGATTGCGGAAAATAGTCTTAGGTAATAAATAGAAGGCATAATATATGTATTGCTAAGCTCAAATTTTGGAATAAGCAGTCTTCCTGAAAGAGAGTGAGGAAGAAGGAGGAACATATACCATAACAACTACTACTATTTCGTTTCAAGTCCGAACAAGTATAAATCAACTACATTATCCATTCCATTTGGGCCCCAAGGTAAGTTGGCATACACATACCAATAAATAACTAAATAAATAAGAACCAGAAAAAAAAGTGGAAGCCTTGTATCAGTTCTCACTTTACCTTTTTCCCCTTCCCCCTTCCTGATCCAATGCAATAGAAAAAGTTGGAAGAAAAAAGGTAAAACCATATGTTAAAGAAATCCACAAATATAATGACAAGTGGGCTTTAAGTTTCTCACTTTTCCTTCTTAGTTTACATTGATAAAACTAAACTTCCCATGTGGTCCAAGGAAAAAGGTATCAGCTTTTTTCTTCCATTCCTCAAGCCATGAAACACCACAAAACACACACACACACACACCAAACAACAACTTAAAAGACCATCCAGAAATGCAGGAATGGAAATAATAAAAAAAGAAGAAGAAAATAGTGTAAAACTGAGAAAAAGAAAAACTCATTTGGGTGAAGAGAATAAATAAGTTGAAACCTGTTCAACAACTCTATCAGAATGGAGAATGGCCAAGTGCTCGTCGCCCATTTTCTAAGAGAATCACATGCAAGTTAAAGAACAGAGGAATTTCACAAGAATTTACAAAGCTTAGTCGTCTACAGTTGTTGTCAGAGAGATTATTATAAAATGAAGAATTAAACACACACATATATGGTCCTTTCCTTTTTCTTGGCTATTGATTCTACTCTTACATTATGACTCTTCTTCACTTGGGGATCGTGCAGAGAGTGAGAATTGTACTACTGCTAGCGCACGTGTGCAGAGTACAGTAATAACTTTCCATAAATACATGCAAGTAATAATTTATTTTAAGAAGTATAATCACAGTTACACATGATATGTCCTTTTCCTTTTTTGTTAATTTTTATTTATGACTATTTTCTTTTAGTTTTTTCTCAAATTCATTTTTTTTTTCTCAAATCATGAAAAGACTATTTCTTTTTAACTCCATTCATTACCAGTCGCACTGTAGAACTGACTTTCCTTTTTACTTTTTCTTGACAGAATAGATTCAAGATCTTTTTATTATTTTAAGAGCTAAAGAATTTGCTTTTTTTCGTTTTTTTGTCCAACAATATGAAAACAAATACTCCCGTGTTCTACTTTATGTGGCAAGGTTTGGGAGGGCAAACGTACTTAATTTTTGATGTGAATTTGAATTTAGATTCTTTAATTTTTAGATAGTAACAGTTAAAGTACATATTGAGCAACTGTTAAAAAGTATTGTAAGTTATAATAGTCAATTACTTAAAATATTTTAAAAAAATATGATCGAAGAAAAAGGTCTTTGACTCCATAAATATTAATTTTGTCACACAACTTATAAAAACGTAAGGAGTAACGAGCAAGTGAATTAAGAAGAAATTAAAACTTTAAGATATAGAAGTGTATATTTGAATATTGAAGAGATTGAGCTGTCATGATCATGATTGGATATTCAATATTGTTTTACATAGTTAATTTGATGGGAAAATCAACTAAAAACTCAAAATCATGACCAATCCATTCACTTCCATAGATTAAGTTCAATTGATTCAGATTTCCTTTCTACCCAGAAATGGTTAACATTGCCTTCCTTTTTTATTCTTTTCCTTTTAAACTTCTCCTCTCTTTCTGGTTCAATAAAGAGAAAAACAACAACAACAATATACTCAGTATAATCTCGTAAAGTATGGTCTGGGGAGGATATGTATACAGACCTTACCCTAACCTATGTGAAGATAAAGAGATTATTTTCGATAGATAATAAAGGGATAAATGTGTTCATAAATTCATGAAATAAGAAGAAGAAAAAAAAAGATAAGGTTAGAAGGACATGGGCTTGTCTGTTTGGGGACACTCAATAAAATTAAAACTATATAGAAAACATTAGTATGATACATGTGCAAGATTAACATAAAAAAAATAGAAAGATGGCGTGGAAAAACAATATGGCTTATTTACTCCAAAAAGGAATTAATACTCCCTCCGTTTCAATTTATGTGAACATATTTGACTGGGCAAGGAGTTTAAGAAAAAATGAAAACTTTTGAAATTTGTGGTCCTAAACAATTCAAATAGGGGCCCAGAGTATTTGTGTGATTATAAAAACTTCTCATTAAGGGTAGAATTGTAAGTTTAAGCAAAATTGTTTCCAAATTTAGAAAGGGATCGTTCCAAAAGCAAAATTGTTTCCAAATTTAGAAAGGGGTCATTCCAGTGGCATTACTTTGTGTCAGCAGGAAGTTGGTAGAGATACCTTTTTGGCGGAAATTCTCTGACCCCCTTTGAAAAGTTTCTGACGGTTGATTAGACGTACGTCTCTCCGCATTTAATGCCCCGAACATGCGACACCCCACGATTTAGCATCACTTTTGCCGGTTATCGAGGTAATTATGGCCACAATTTTAGCTACATGTTCCTTTACTTATACGCATCAAACTTCTTCATTTACACTCCTAAATTCTGCAAACTCTCTCAAACTCTCTTTACTCAACTCACATTTTGTCTTCATCTTTTCTTTAACCTTCTTCTTCAGAGAAACTCTCCCTTCCTTTCTGATAAAAATGGCTTCTTTTTCTAAAAACCCTAGTTCTTCAAAGAACAAAGGTAAAGCTGATGATACTGCTCATCCTACGGTGAGCACCATCATCCCAAAGAGTCTTGTCACAACTAAGGACTTCGAAGAGAAGTATCCTTCCGCTCACCCTTGTACGTGGGTCGTTAACGTATACCCTTCTTCCATCTGTCCTTCTAGTATTTCTGTTGTGAAGGAAGACTGCCATTGCAAAGATTTAGATATTATCGCTCCTCATCTGGCGGAGCGGATAACCTTACCCAATAAGGGTTTTACGTATTTTTATACGTACCCTTTCACTTTGGGGCCGTTCTCTTTGAGTAGAGAGCTTGACTTCATCATCGTGGAGTTCTGCATCCGCTACCGGGCCTGCTTCTGGTGCAAGTAATTCTTCTTGGAGTCCCCGGCCAGAGAACAAACAACCAAAAAGAAGACGTTCCTCCGCGGTCGGGGGAAAAATAAAAAGGCAAAGAGTGCCTCACCCGAGTCATCTCCGGAAGTTGTGGTGATGAAACCCGCGCCCGAGCTGGCCGTAGACACCATGGTGATCGACGATAAAGGAGAAGCCAGCGAGAAAGGGGCTTCTCTACATGGAAGATGGCGACCTTCCTCAGCTCAATAGAATGCTCAATCTGTTGAGTTAGTTACACCAACCAAGGACGATGCCTCAACACTTTGGGGGGAGTATGATATAGTGGAGAATGCCAAATCTTGTTTTCGAATCCCAGTCGTCTTGCCCAGTACCGTGGGGCTGAGTACTAGGTCCTTGCCATCTTTGTTTGATGAGCAACCAACAACCAGCACTGCACTTGCCACAGCCACTTCTCATCCCTCAACTCTATTAGCTTCATCTCCTTCTTCACCAACTCTGTTTCTGCCACCAAATACTGCTAATCATCTCCACCGGCCGCAGTTGTCCGAGAGGATGACGTCCCTCTTCCCTAGTCCCCAGTTCATGTGAACCTGAGGCAAAATTATGTTGCCCCCTTAGAAGATCCTCAAAGGAGGAGGAGCGTTACTTTCTCGATTTCTACCAAGTGCAATCTGCTGTCCCGGCCGGTGGAACTTACAAACTACCTAAAGCCTTTGGTTTCAGAAAATGATAGGGAAAAGATACAAGCTCTCTCGGGAGAGTGTTTGTTGAACAATGCCATGCATAATGCAACAACGGTATAATTTTTGTTTTCTTTGTTGTTTCTTCTATCTGTGTTATGGCACGGTTTTGAATTTGTAGGCCAACGTCCTTGCTTCCGAGCTCCTCTAAAGGCTGATTCGTGATAAGGAGGAACTTAACTCCGAGCGGGATCAACTTTTGGCCGAGCAGGACCAAGTTGTTGTTCGCTTCTCAGAACTGGAAGCTCGAGCTGCTGAGGCCGTTGAGTTGGAGGCTCGGTTGCAGCAAAGCGAGCAAGAAGTAGTGACCCTTAGCCTAGAGGTCGCCCTGTTGAGGGCTCAATTTGAAGAAACTAGGGCCAAATGGGTTGAAGTCCATAATGTCGTTCTTGCTGCATCCGATCGTGAGGCCGCCTCCACCGAAAGATTAAGTAATTTGGAGGTAGCCTTAAACTCCAAGGCTGAAGAGCTTACAGCTGCCGAGGAAAAGTATGTCCGGTTGGAGGAGAAGCATACGAAGATCATATAGCATAATAAGATTTAGAGCTCCATTGTCCGTGATTTTGATGTCAGCCTTCGATCCATGAGATCCGCACGGGACAAACTTTCTGCTGAGGTTGGCCAGCTTAAAGAAGAACTTTACCGCCGAGCGGCTTCCCTCATTATTGAAAAAATATCCACTACGTATAACATGAGGAGAAAAACCTTAGAAGAGGCCAAAGCGTGTGTCATTAACTTTGATGCCGAAATTGCTAAGGCTCGTGAGCTGGAGTTAGCTGCAAAAAGGGGTCTTCCGCCCCAGCCTGATGCTACTGATTCTTCTGGTTCCGGTTCTGAGTTTTCGGGAACTGAAGAAGAACCGAAAGGTGATGATGCTGAAGGCCAAAGTTCGAACCGGCGACGGATCTACTCACTTCTCCTGGGGGCATAGATGATTCTTTTCCTCTAGGTTCCGGAGATGCAGCAGCTTAGTTTCTGCTTTATTTTTCAAACATTTGTACTTGTGTTATTTGGCACATTTATTGTAAATAGAGACACTTTTTCGTTCAAGTATAAGTTTTTCTCTTTACGTCCTTTTGTTTAAGTATTTGCGCGAGTTTGCTCTTTGCGTCTTTTTTCGTTTAAGTGTTTGTGCAAGTTTTACTATTTGTGTCTAATTGTGCAAGGCTTCGGGTGTATTTTCCCCCGAAAGCATTTGGATTTCGGGCATAAGTTCTTCCGAAATCAACCATTTAACGTGAGGATTTTTATAAGAGAGGGCCCTTTTATGTTTACAGTGCTCTTGAAGAGGATGTCTCCTGTTCATTACAACACTAGCAATTGAAG